CGGCTTGTGATTCTTCCAGCCTGGCATTTCTCATGATGTACTCTGCATATAGGTTAAAAAATCAGTTCTGAGTATCACACTTTAAGATTCAGACAACTGATTGACAAAGATTGAAAGCCAGTTTGGTGTTAAGGTAAGTTAAGGTATCAGGCTAGAAACCGAGAGACTGTGAGTTCTAGTCCCACCTAGGCACAAAGCCAGCTGGGTGACTTTGAGCCAGTCACTTTCCCTCAGCCCTAGGAAGGAGGCAATGGCAAACCACTTCTGAAAAACCTTGCCAAGAAGACTGCAGGGACTTGTCCAGGCAATCTCCAAGAATTGGACGTGACTGAACAGATTAAAAAAAAAACACACCACACTTTAAGAAAGATTCAGACAAAATAAAAGTCAGAAAAGGCAACCAGAAGGCAACAAAGATGATTAGGGAATTAGAAACTAGGTCTCATGAGGAGAGAATGAGAGAACTGAGAATCTTCTGACTTGAAGAAAGCCAACTGATGGGGGTTACAATAGCATTCTTCCTCGTAAGATGGGCAGCGTCCAAATTTGAAATATAAATAAATTTATAAATATACATCTATAAATATAAATAAATAAATAATTCTTCAAAATCTGTAAGAGTGTCACATAGAATGGTGCAATCTAATTCTAGGATACAGAATCATGGTCTGAAATGGAAGGTACATTCTAGGTGAGCATTGGGACAAAATTCCTAATTACAATTTTCAAGTCATCAGGGGGGCTGAAATGTGGAAATGAAGCTTCTTGCTAATGGTGGCAACTTTATGGAATAGTGTTCCTTTAGAAGTTACATTGTCCCTTCCAGAAAGCCTTCTAGAAAGTGAAGTTGTCCTGGAGGGCCTTTAGTGGGTGATGGTCATCTTAGTTGGACGTTTATTATGTTTTTTAGTAGCGATCAAAATAAAGGTAATCTAGTTTCTGGACTGGAAACTGAAATAGTAGAAAAACATGCTTTATGCTGCAAAACTGCTCTATGGAGCAAACTAGAAAACATTACACAGCCAAACAGGAGGGTAATGTCAGTTTATGCATCACTTTCAGGAAAGAATTTATTTTGTTTCCTTGTTTTCTTTCAACACCTAATTAAGATTGAGATTACTGAAATAGATAATAACCTGAAGCCTTCCAAGTCTGATAGCAGTCACGCTAAAAATTGTGAAACCAGAAACCTCACCTGACAGAAGAAATTAGATGTTACCTGCTCTGTTTTGTCTTATCCCTGGGTTTACCATTTCTATCAATGAGACTGAGAAAAACCTATAAAACAGAGGCCTCTCTCACATGATCAATGCATAGTTCGTAACTCATCTGCCAGGAGTCTACGTGTGAAGACATCAATATTCAAACTACATGAATCGAAACTCTAAGCTATCAACCCAATAATTGGTATTTAAGATATGCTGCGATGGAGGCATTAAATAGCCATTAACACTAGCAACCACTGATAGTTTAATACTCTATTAATTCCTCTAATTCCATTTTAAAACCAACTTGTTGACCAAGGCTTATTTCAATGGATGACCACAATTTCTGTGATAGTCTGCTCGTTATTTTCCCCTCACTGAATGATTTTGGAGGTACTCCTCACTTACCAACTGCTTGTTCAGCAACTGTTCAAAGTTACAGTGGCACTGAAAAAATGAGATTTATGACCGGTCCTCAAACTTGTGGCCATCACAGTGTTCCCAGGGTCACATGATCGCGATTCGGGTGCTTGGCAACTAGCGCACATTTAGAATGGTCAAAGCTTCTGCGGTCACATGATCACCATTTGCGACCCTCACAGCCAGGTTCCAACAAGCAAAGTCAATGGGAAAGCCAGCAGGAAGTTGCAAGTCAGAGTCATGTGACTTTGCACTTAACGACCACGGTGATTCACTTAACAACCACAGCCAGAACTAACATTTTAAGTCAGTCACAGTCATGTGATGTTTCTTTTTATGACCATGTTGCTTAGTGATGGAGTTGTGGTAAGTAAGGACTACCTGTATATAGCCTTAAAGTTTTGATACAAAGAAAAGATAGCATCACAGAACAGATTCCAAGAAAACAAGTCTGAACCAATATCAATATTGAAATAGTTCCAAAATACTACAAGCCAGGCAGGAAGTCAAAAGCAGATCTAGTAAACTCTGCCATGCCCAAGGTGCAGGACTATCAACTGTAATCATGTGTACAGCCTTGACAACAATGATAACTATTCAGAATAGTATTGCAGAAACCTATTAATATCGCAAATCAAAGACAGAACTATTGTAAAATCAGTGGGGTTCTGTATATTCCATTTTTGGGGTAACTGTTATTCATGGAGGAAATCAATAGTAGAAAAAGTAAGTAGAAAAAAATTCAACAAAGGTAGATTTGCTAAATCCAAGATGGCAAGATAGGCAGGTCAGGCGAGCACGGTAGGCAAATTCAAGCCACTCAGGTAAACAGATCAGCAGCCATGGCAGACAAAGCTTAGAAACCCTTGGTGAAGAGGACAGCAAGATTACCTTAAATAACATCAAATGGCTTTAACAGCATCATAACATTCTCTCATATTGGGACACATGGAAGGAAGTTACACCACCATTTTGACAATAATTTGAATCTTATATACTTATGCAATCTAGAGAAGCTGTTTGAAATTTTAATTGGCCCTTACCTAATTTTGTATTTAGAGATATTTATAAAGCTGGAAGCTGCTTATCCTTTAAGGGAGAGGGTTCCAAACTGTGAGATACTACAACCCTCTAAAATGATAAATGAGAACGTGCAAACTTTCATCATTCAACCGTATGTTACATTTTTATACAATAAAACTGGTTTAGTAAAAATAGACAAAAATAAATGAATAAATAGGTAAATGGGAAGAATAAGCTTATTTTTGTATAATCCTTGAAATCTGGTTTTTACTTTGAAGCCACTCTCATTCACCAAAATCAAAGCAAAGCAGAGTATTTCCTTGCCTTTAATCAGCTTCTCTTAAACTGCTGCAGCTTGTAAAACATTGGCAGGTTGTAAGTTGTGTTTAGTACTATCTCCCTCCCAGCACTACTATTCTAAGGTAACAAACGTAGCTTGTCTTCTCTTTCTTTCAGGCTGGTGTTTGGTGTGTAAATCCCTCCCCAGCTTTTGTCATTCCTTCCTTGCTGCAGCCTCATAGCAGCTATTTTTCCTTCTGTTGCAATTCCCTTTGAAGTAAAGGTCAGGGGATGGTTGAAGCTTTGAACAAAAGCCTCACACTCTCCAGGCATAGTATCTCCTCTGAAACGTAACCATGGTGATTTTGTTTTTAAATGTAAAGAACATGTAGGCTTCATATATGGCTTGGAGTGGTTTGCATTCAGCACACTTTTGCATTAAATTGGTAAATTCCTTGAAAAAATCTTCACGCGAACCCCCAGTATATTGAGAATTATTGCTTTAAGGCAAAGTTATCCTTCAAGTCAAGCACAATTCCTGATGACTTCACAAACATGTCTTCTTGAGACCAATACAAAAGTGATTTATCACTGCTTTCTTCCAAGATGCTATTTTGATTTTCCAGTCCACTCAACAATGCTGAATTTTCCTGGAGGTCTCCCCTCCAGGTATTAACCAAGCTTGATTATGCTCAATTTTCAAGTTCAGATAAGATCAGCTAAGTGTAGCCACTAGCTGAGATAGTTCATCCTTTGCATCACAGTAAAATGGCAAGCTCTTTCCACTTGTCAGAATGGCCCTGAATACGAAAATACCATCCTCTGTGTCTTGTTGTCAGTTTTCTGCTGTCCGCTGAAGAATCTAAGAGTCCAAGGTCATGATGCACTGTGATTAAGACATGATGCTCCTGTAAGACCACCCAAAGAGATCGGAGGAATGGAGCATCTGGAGGAACCTATCTCATAATACTTGTCACCAAAGCAATGCTGGTAAGCCATCAAGATGGTCATAACAGCTTACTGTTGCACTTAAAGTACTTTTACATAGAGAATGCTTAAAAATGAGAAAACCCAAAAAAATTAGAAAAAAAAAAATGAGGCATTAACTTTGCATGAGAAGCTCACCGAGGAAATTTCAAACAATGCAACAACTGTAATGGTCAAGAAGGAACTGACCTAAAAGGCAAAGCCACACTCCACTGTGCATCAGCACTTAGTGCTTAGAAGATTCTGCAATTTTGCTCTCTGCAGAAATAGAATTTATACACAAAACTGAATGGACACTATAAATTTACCTCTAGTTCTTTTCCACTGCAGAACTTTCTAAAAAATACTAACTTGTTACTATAAAAAAGCAATCCCGTCTTATTTTTTCTCCATGTTGTGCTACCAAAATTGTCAAGTGCAATTGTAATTGGGTTTGTATTTTGAGCAACCTGCTTAAAATACTGTTACTTCAAAACCAACATTATATATAGATAAAACAAAAAATAATGGAAGCTCAAATATAAATAAGCAAATAATACCAAGAGAGCTATTCTTTATGCTTAAAAATGGGTCTTTATAATACTGAATATTTTATAATTTCAAAACTCAGCTTGAAAAAGACCTTACAATTCAGCAGCAGTAACTGTTTAAGAAAAAGATCATGATCAACTACTTGGCTGCTGGTTTAAGTCACAAAAGTAAGTGCTTTCTTACTTACAGATCTTCTGGAATACTCAGCCGAAGACTATTTTAGTAATGAAGGTTTTTTGTAAGAACATGCAATCATATCCAATTCATATCACCAATGTGACTCATCAAAAAATTCATTTATCAAATTGATGAAATGTGCGGGTTTGCGTGCAAGTGCACTATTACCAAATTACAATTACTCATAAAATTACCAAATAGTTTTGAAGGCACTATGCTTGAAATTTCAGTTGAATCACCTTTGAATTGTACCTTCAGAGCATCCTAATTGCTGGATCTTAAAAATATTTTTGTCATTCTGCCTTTGCTGACTTCACAAATATTTTAACAAACTCTGGTAAAGCATAATAATCATCCATATTTGACCTACTGTAATCAGTCAATCTTCTCAAATATTCATTTTTTCTCTTTTTACTTACTTGGGTCCATTCCAGCTCCATCATCCAAAAAACACAGCATGAATCCACCTCGAAGGTCTTCACGATGCTCTATGATAAGAGAAGACTTTGAGTGATGGGTCCACAATCCTTCTTTTGTATTAGTAATAAAAACTGCAGTGGCCAGGATTTGGCCCTTATGCCTAAAGTGTTCCTGACGTCATGCTGTATTTTCAAGCAAGACTAAAGGCAGTTCCATGTTTGGGAACTGAGAGGAGATGATGAGGAAACCATCCATAGAGTTACACTATGCAACTGAGCATTTCATCCCTTCTCAGCTCCAAGCTGGTGAGATGTTCTCATCATGGTCAACTGAGATTGAAGGAATATCTGCCATAGTAAAATAATCTGTAAACCTCAACTAGTACCACACTGGAAAAGGGATAAATGTTTAGAAATGTATGGAACAAAAACCCAAAATAAAGAGGAAATTAACGTCAGAACCTAGCATCAGAAACTCTCTTAAATTCAACAAAATAATTAGAATTAGATTACTATCTGCAGCTATTAGGCTCATTTCATATGTAACGCAATGTTGGGAAAGGACATAATGATGTCAGCTGTATGAGCTCTGGTACATGTGTACCAAAGTTAGTATTTTGATTTAATAAAAATCACACGGAGGCCACCCTCATGCCACACCAGTAATATATGAATGAGGGTGATAAACAAATAGATCTGTAGATAAACTATTATACAGGAAGTTCATTTCAATTCTGCACATACAATTTTCTAAGCCACCATGCCTTATTTTAAAAACAGTATAAAGTTATTCATGATTTGATCATTCAGAGCAACAGTCTTGTAGCACAAAAGCTATGCATTAACTTACTTTCTGGAACAAAAACATTTTTTTGCTATTATCTGTTTTTCCCCTCAGCTCATGGAATCAGTTTACATATCTATAAGTTCTAATTCCTAACAGACACTTCATCACAGAAGATAAATCTGTCTGATTTGTAACAAAGATTGCCATTCTAAGATGTCATTAGAAAAAAAGGTGGGTTTGTTTAAAAATAAACCTGAATATAAGTTAATTTGTGACCAGCCACTTGCTTTATATATCTCAAAGATGATTTTGAGTATGATGTAACAATACATTCAAAGAAATGTTCCATGTTTCTTCTCCCTTTTTGCTAGGCAAGTTTCATAACCAATTAATACCTCTGAATAATAGTTGCTTGGGGGTTTCTCCAGGAGAAGGTAAATGACTATTTTTAATATTTCTATAAGAGCTTTCATCCTCACTGAAATAATTCATAACACTGAAACTCCAAAATGATAAAATACAGTTTTTTTCAATGATTTAAAAAGTATTCATGCACATTCTTAGATTAGGAAAAACGAGATTTTAATCTGAAAGGTGTACATTTATATTTTTTATAATTTATATTTTTTCACTATAACATATTGCAAAAAAGATTTAAATTTTAGTTAAGCTTATAGCCAATATAACACATATGATTGAACAAATTTGACTTAATACAATTTTAGACTGCAACTTAAATTCTTTTGTCCAATACAAGTATTCTTATATGAGGAAAATACAAGTTGCTTAGACCCATGTTAAGGCATTAGCAAAGTCAATAATCAAACCGTTTATCGTGTATTATGTAATATATCATTGCTAGAACAGCTTCAAGAATTAATGAAATAAATGAGTAAAACTGCTCTAAAGCTTTCATTAAAGACTGGGCATGAAATCAGCAAACAGAAAAACCACTTAGTTCTTTCTTAGTTCTCATGAAATATGTACATATTCTTTGTGTTTAAATATTCCACCCACTCCACTTTCCAGCCAGCCTTCTGTCTTCTATGAATAGCTGGCAAACTACAAGGAAAAAAACTTAACTTACCAGTAAAGATATCTATTCTTGTGGCATTTGCATCTCTACAAAACAGCAACAAGGAATTGGTAAAACATTTAGTGAGTATCAGCTATCACACCTGACAGAGGGGTTGTAAGTTATTTACATCTGTTCTTTAAGCACTACAGTGGAACCTTGGTTCACTAACTTAATTGGTTCCGTGACTCTGGTTGTGACCCGAATTGGTCGCGACCCGAAGCAAATCTTCCCATAAGGTTCAATGTAATTACCATTAATCCATTCTGGCGTGGAGGACAGGGAGGCGGCTATTGCTTGGAGGGAGAGTCCCCCTCCCTACGACCACGTGTCAGGGGCAGAAAAATGGCAGCGGACGTGTCAGGGGTGGAAAATGGCCGCGGATCACGTGTCAGGGGCGGAAAAATGGCCGCGGACCACATGTCAGGGGTGGAAAATGGCCGCGGAGCACGTGTCAGGGGCGGAAAATGGCCGCGGACCACGTGTCAGGGGCGGAAAATGGCCGCGGACCACGTGTCAGGGGC